GTATCCTCATTTAGGAAAGCGGTCAACAGCCAGATCTAGAGTTCCACTTCGGACTGGTGCAACATGAGTTCAAAGCCGTCCCATTGCCTTAAATAACTACTCACACGTCGCAATTGGATCGTGAGAAGAAATCGTTGCATACGACATAAAGATGGTTGATTGGTTGATCAATAGTCTTACAATGTTGGTTGATTGTGAAACGAATGGATAACTCGAGGAGAATGGATGTGGTGGTGACGGAGGTGACGGCCATGCAGATAAGATGGGAAATGGCAGCGGCTGGGTTTGCGAATGGCTTTTGGTTCTTTGTTTTGTCGATGCACGGCTCCCGCTTCGCAAATTAGGCATGGCCCCTTTACAAACTGTACTTGGTTGGACTCCACGGTGTGGAAGACGTGTGGTATGACCGTTGGTATGTGCAGGCGCGGTCATATCGAGCGTTGTCTTCTGCTATGCCTGCCTTCTAGTGTAAACACTAAAATTGAAATAGGCACGTGTATGAGGTCTTACTCTCACAAACTTGTATTTGCATGTGGGACCTCATCTTGATATTAAACATAGTCCTAGAAGACACCCGTTTACGAGGTTCTTGCAACGTAATGAAGTGAGGGATGTGTCCAAAATATGTCTTGAACTGTTCGCGACCTGCATCAAAATTTAGTTGTCCAACCGATGGCGCTTACCGTCGCATGGGGTTACTCAGTTATTAAGAATTACTTTTGAACAAAGTGTTGGGAGTTTAATGATTACACCCCATTTTATCCCCAAGGATTGCTTTCCACTATTGTACTAATCCTTTGTGTCACTAGTTTTCATAACAACATTCCACACATCCTCGCTTCTTACCTCCTCCTCGATTGATCTACTGGATCCTGGGTACCTGCAGGGCCTTAGAACGAGAAGAAGACAAAATACAACTCGGTTGCGGATCACACGTACAAATAACATCAATCAAGCAAAGTCATTCCAACAATGTCATCCACAAATGCGTAGGGTTGCGAGGCCTTGCCTTAACCATTTGCCTTAAGGAACTACTAACACATGGCGATCGGATCGCAAGAAGAAATCATCGAAGACGACATACTATGAATGATTGATTGATAATATGTCTTACAATGTTGCCGATTGCTATACATTTAGAAGTATGGCTAACTTGGAGAGAGATGGTTGGGGTGATTATGCTTGTGATGGCCATGGAGATGAGATAGGAAATGGCGATGACTATGGTTTGTAGATGGCTTCTAGTTCTCTATTTGGATGAATGGCTCTCCTCTGTTGTGAATTAGACATTGCCCCTTTTATGAAGTGTCGTTGGACACCCTTGTTCCGAAGGCGAGCAGTACGGCCGCTGGTAAGAGCGGGTGCGCTCGTGCCTTGTGTCGTATTCTACTCTGTTTCCCTTCTCGCGCCTCCTTTTGCCATGTATTTGATCCCTCTCTTTGTGTTTCCTTTTATGTGATGAAATTCTTCCATGTTTGGGCTCATTCCCTGGATAAACACGTTAAACAAAAGATTTCACTGTTCTTTCGTTCAGTCACTAGTAGGCATACCAGAGTGATTCACTCTAAAAATGCGGGATCCAATTTAGAACCGGAGAACTAGCGCCAAGGGGGAGCTAGATTTTTGGTGGGAGGGGTGGGGAGCTATTTGCCAGTGAGGCTTCACACGAAGAGAAGAAGGCACCCCATGCTCAAGCACCTCCTCGGCCTCCCAGGAGACGAGACAAGTTGGTGAGGTTAAGGTTGACTGCACACACACCTCAATTACCCGCAGTCCCTGTAATCCATCTCACCGGATCACCGCGGTGGCAACGGCGACGCGTGTAGGCCATGGCACTCGAGGGCATCAGTGAGGGGCACAACCGTCGTGGAGCTGGCGATGGGGAGCTCCATGGTTGTGCTGGGAGGGCAGGGACGGTGTTGTGTGAGGCAAAGTAGTGTGGTTGTGCGGCGGCGGGCTGGGGCATGGTAGGGCAGCGTTGTGAGGTCACGATGGTTTTACCCTTCACTAATTGGAATTGTCCTACATGGTAGAACAGAGAGAAAAATGCTTCGACGTGGACGGGTTTCCCCATATGGTTTTGGACGAAACTTGCCTGGTTTTGAGAACTGAAGGACAAAATATGGCCCAAAAATCTTGAGGGACCAGATGTAAAACTTTGGTAAACTTTAGGGTGCAATAGAAATGCAGCGCTAAAATATAGGTATGTGTGCTCATATCAAGAGACATACTTTTAGTCGGGATGATTTTACGGCCGTACATGTGTCACGGCGGGACTATAAAAAAATTAACAAGTCATCCATAAAAAATCAACCACTTACTTTACTTGATGCCCCTTTTTTGCTGAGATTGTTTGGAAGTTAATTTATTAAAAATGTCAAATCATATATTAAGTAGCATGGACCCCTTTAAAAATAGTTTTACAAAAATTGAAAAATACATCGAAATATATTAAGTAGCAGGGATGGTGAAGTCTTCTTCCTCCTCCGTCGTATAGATAAAGACATGAAGGTCATCAATACAACATGCGCGGTCTTTGAGACCTAGGAATATTGCCTTCTTAGGCCAGGGGTTGTTCCAAAATAATAGGGTAAGAAACAGGACCAAACATTACTGATAGTGGTGTGCAAAAGGACACAACATTACACTAACAATCTCAAAATATAATGTGTATAACTTTCGTAGAACATCAAAAATTTGTAAGTTTGACCAAATTGTAGAAAAAAGTCAAACACTCTTGAAATCAGCATTAGATCTATTGTAAAATATAGTCACATAGTGTACTAATTGGGTATTACGATTGATGATAGTTATTCTATATATTTGGATAAACATGTGAAAGTTTGACATAGGGAAAAAGTTAAGCCTTAATATTCGGAAGTCTCTTTTGCATTCCCTTAGCTTCCATTAATTATGAGAAAGGTTTTGACATTGAGCGGAAAAATCGGTACCGGGCAATAACCACACATGCCAGTATTCCACGAGCAATCACCTTACCGAGCAAAATATCTCAAGTTTTGAATTTGAATGAAATTTGACTGAATTTTGGATGAATTTTATCTGGATTCAAATTTTGTTCAAAAAATTTGCTCGGTAACCGCACGGTATTTTGTGGTTACCGCGGTAACCCAAAATTTTCAGGGCTCCACGAGATTGTCCTTTTCATCCGAGATCCGAAACCTTATGATTCACCAAACAGGTACATGGTTTGGAAGCAAGAACTCTTGTACACGAAGCAAACCAAACTAGTAGAATTCTCAAGGGTAATATTCACCGAAAATGCTACATTCACTGACAAGCGACGGATGTT